AAGGAATGGAAAAGGGTGAATATAAGAAAGAAACACTTGACAAGATGTGGAAATAAAGTATATAGCACTTTCATTAAAACCTACTAAAATAGGGCCAGGGAGATGGCTCAGTGGAATAAGTGCTTCCCTGGCAAGCGCAAGGGCCTGAGTTCAATCCCTGGTTCCGCAAAATAAAAACAAAAACCTACTAAAATAAAATAAACATAAGAATGTGGGACTGTTTACAAACCAAAAAAAGGACACTGAATTGATTTGACTCATTGGGGGTTGGGCAATCACACAGGACAGACTCTGGGGAGAAGAAATCCTGGGGTCTCTGCCCACCCCACTATCACTACCAATGACCCATCACCCTGGGAATTCAAACCTACTGGTGTCAACTGAAAACCATGAAAACAGCTCCGTCTACAAGTGACTCCAGCTGCAAGCTGTTAGGGTGTGGGTGGAGCCCGGCAAGAGGTAACAGCCTAGGGAAGACAAGCTAGAGGGCAAACTGGACCACACTTTCAAACCTGGGTCTCTGCTTTGGCGGTGCTGTCAGCACACAGACCCTGCAGATCCCCACCTAAGACCCTTTGTGCTGATGATCTGTGTTTTCATACACATGTGAACATATGGAAGGTAATTTGGTTTCTTCTGGTTGTTTTACTTTTAGCCTCTATGTGCTGGGATAGTTCATTAGAATAGTACAAGTTCTCCAGCAAGGTTTACTTTATCATGTAAATATTTCAAAGTAGGCTGCTTTTATAGTTTTGGCCAACCATGTGCTCTGTTAAGATTAATCTACTGCTTAAAATAAATCATTATCCAATTTTTAATGAACTTTTTGTGTTAAAAAATGAATTAAAGAAAAAACATATTTGGATTCTGACCATCTAAATAGATGTTCTAACTCCTTTACTGTACCTTAAGATGGCTTAGAAATTGAGGGTACAGGGAAGGGTTTCCAGCCTCCCATTTTTATTAATAATCCAGTTATCAACCAATATTCTCTTTTTTACCTCAAATAAAATTTGGATGGAAATCCTAGGGAGCCCAGGCTACTGGGCCACCACAGAGAAAGCTTCCTCAACTTGTAGCTTCCCCATCCCGTGTCAAGGTTCTGTGCATTCAGCAGACCGATGAAGAAAAGGAAGGTACCTTAAGCTGTCTTATCCAGGAGTCACACCCATCATTTCTTTCACTATTTTGAGAAGAACCCGTCACGCAGTAGGTTTTATTCCTACTTGTGATGGCTTAACATATACAAACCCATAAATATATTGCATCACATAAACAGAAGGAAGAACAAAAACCACACGATCATCACAATTGATGCAAAAAGACTTTGACAAAATTCATTCATGGTAAAAATCCTGAACAAAATAGGTATAAAACGATCTTTTTATCGGCCAGGAATATAGCTTAGCAACACAGCACCTACTTGGCAAGTGCAAGATCCTGGGTTCAATTACTAATAAATACCTAAAAAAAAAAAAAAAAAAAAAAAAAGACTCTATCTCTATCTGAAAAAAGCCATTTATGACAAACCTACCATCGACATCACATTAAACAGAAAAAAGATGAGCGTCTTCGTTCTAAAATCAGGAACAAGACAAAAATATCAACTCTCAATATATTATAAAACATCAGACAATGCAATCACGAAAAAAGAAAGAAGAGGGATATGTTTAGGAAAGGAAGAAGTCAGATTATCTTTTTTTGCAGATAACATGATTCTCTATATAGGAGACTCAAAAAAGTGCACAAAATACTCCCAGAATTGATAACCAAACTCAGCAATGTAACAGGATACATGCAAGCTGGGCATTGTAGCACATAAATGTAATCCCAGTGATCAGGAGGCTGAGGCAGGAGATCACAGTATGTTGAAAGACTATACAGCGAGTTAAGGGCAGCCTACCATGCACAGTAAGAACCTTATTGCAATTTAAAAAAAAAGAAAGAAAAAGAAAAAACTCAATACATTAAAATAAATAACATTTCTATATATCAATAATGAACTCACTGGGCCAATGAGATAACTCAGCAGACTAAGTCCCGGCTCAGGCAAGTACAGGAACTGGGGTTCAATCCCTGGCACCACATGCCACGCTGGCTCCATCCCTGGGAGCACTGAGGCAGCCACTGAGACCAGGCATGGTGGCACATGCCTGTAATCCCAGCACTGGGAAAACTGAAAAGAAGAGGATGACTAGGAGTCTGAGCTGCATAGTGAGAACCTGGACTAAAAACATTAAAAATAATAGTAACAGTGAACTCACCACTGGGCATGGTGGTGCAAGCTTGTAATCTCACCACTCCAGAGGTAGAGGCAGGAGAATTACTGAAGAGTCTGAGGCCAGCGTAGACTACATGATGAGTTTAAGGCCAGTCTGAACTACATAGTGAGGCCTTGTCTCAGGAAAAAAAAAAAAGAACTAACCAAGAAAAAAATTAGGAAAACAATACCATTCACAATAATACCAATAGCCATACTGCTAAAGCTGATGTACAGACACAATGCAATCCCAATCAAAACATCATTAACATTCTGTGAATCAAGGGAATAGAAAGGGGAAAAAAAACTCCAAGAACAACCAAGCCATCTGATCTCTGATAAAGAAACCAAAATATATGTTTGGGAAAAGACAGCCTCTGTAACAAATCATGGTGGGAGGGGCTGGGGAGATGGCTCAGTAGGATAAGAGCTTGAAT